AATCCCCTATATTCCATGTGGTCCCCCAAGCACGTTCAAGAGTAGTTCCTGAGTACAGATCCAGGAAGAACCCTGAGCATCACCGAGTCTAACCCTAAAACCAAAACCAAATGAAGAGAAAAACAAAAACAACAATAAAAACAAAATATAGACTATAGAACTCTCAGAACTTTTTCCGTGTATTGAGAAAAAATTGTCTTTATTCTAAATTTGTTTTCACCTTGAGTATGTTGGAACCGGAGTGCACTGAGGTGCATGGAGTGTGACTCTTCACATCAATTTTGGCTCTGTCTCTCCTTCGTCCCCTGTAAGCATTTGAGTCTGCACCCTACACAGAATACTGACTTATACGACATTGATGTTTCAGAGCACTGACGTATATAGGCAAACCTGTGCAGTGAAAATCACATTCAAAATAGTGGATGAACCCTCACCCCAGTGTTTTCCCTTGACCCATGGTATTCCTCCCCCCGGGCCTCACCCCTCCCTCATGCTCTTTACAGGGCTCCCTGTTTGTGTGAGTGTATGAAGGGTGTGATGACGGAGATACACTCTCAATAGCTTTCCACTCTTGGGATATATTAGGGGTTGTTACTCAGGCCAAAAAGCGTCTTGGATTACTCTCAGTCCTGGATCTTTAAAATAGGTCACATGAGCTTTCTAGAAGGAAGGATAAAAATGAGGAAAAGCTGTTCTATATATTACATGGGTATCACAGAGAAAGCTATAAAAATAATAACAAACGGAAAAGTACCGATTAATATTTACCCTGCTAGACGTTGGAGTCCTGGGGGCCTGGTGGGGTGAGTGTGGGGGACAGGGAGGACAGATCTCAGGGAGGGGGTTGGGAGTGTGAGGGTGTCACTGAGAGTGGAGCTGCTCTGGGAGCGACAGGGAAGGGTCCTCGGAAAGTTGCTGGAACTGGGCATGGATGGGAGAGGATGGGGGTGAGGGGGGTGAGCATCTATGTGTTGTGACAGAAGATTGGCCCCTGTGGGCTTCTAGCACATGGTGATCCTCTTTGTCCCCTGGTGGGACTGAGGCCTTTTCCCAGGTGGCTCCCTATTGCCCTCTAGTGGTGGGCAGCGCCCCTGCAGCCGCTCCGTGTCCCCTCAGGACTTGGTGTCTGGGCTCCTTTGACTGACCCACAGTCCCCTGCACAGTCACACCCCGGGTTTACCTTATCTCAGGCTGCTCCCCTGCAGGTGGTCACAAGTCTTCTTGGTCTCAGGAGATGGTGCATCAGCCCCTCCCAGAGAGTCAGGGGGTGATTGTTCTAACAAAGGCCTGCCCTTTCCCTGGGCCTGGTGACCTGGTCATCCAGGAGCTGCTAACCAGAATCTGCACAGGAGAGACTCCATCTCTGTCTGTTTCTGTCTCTCTCTCCCTCCCCCCTCCAGGTTAAGCCTTCAGTGATTATATCTTTTAATTGAGATTGGAGCTGGAACTCCACATTACATTCCACCTTATCTCCAATCTGCTGTGCTACTCCTGTTTGATTGAGTTGTAGTGTTTGAGGTGTCGCTCCAGGAAATCCAGAGTTTTTAAAGAGGTAAAATAGCTGAAGTTATATCTTTAACTGGGGGAGGCTTTTGGGCATGTGCGTGACTTCCTGGGCTTCCAGAACTACAGAAAGATGGCGGGAATGTAAAGGAAATATCAGAGGGACAATGAGAGATGTCACGGAGAAAGACCTATATCAGAAAAAGACTCAAAAGAACAAGAGTTGGGATGTTGTCAAAAACAAATCTGTTTCCTCATTACCTTGGAATGTCTGATTTGATGTCTATGAAAAACAGCAGGAGATTTCTCTAAAAGGTGAAATTAGAGTTTCCATATAATGCACTGATTCGAGCTAGATACATTCACCCGAAGGTGAAAATATCAAATTAAGTTATAAGAAAACATACACTGAAGCATTTGATATACTGGCTAGGACACAGAAATGGCCCTAATACTTAATGACAGTTTCATGAGTAAGAAGTTGTGGTATATATACAAAAAGGGATACTGTGCACTTGTTAAGAAAAAAAAGACAAAATATCAGTATTTTCTGCCCCATGGATGGAACTAGAGAATATCAGATTAAGTGAAGTTTGTCAGAGGGAGAAAGACAAATTCTAACAATCTCATTCAACTGTGGCACACAGAGAACAGAGCATCAGGATAGACAGGATCCATTGATTAAAAACCCCTGCATCCTAACCACACGCTCGGGTTCCCAAGAGGAGTTGGGTGAGGGCTTAGATCACTGGGAAGAATAGGCCAAGCACAGGGGCCACGGGATTGTTTGGGGGTCTGTGAGGTTTGGTGCTGGGAGAAGCGCAGGGAGTTTGGGACCCACAAGCATCAACACTCAGACTATTGTCATCATGTTCCCTCAGTGACAATCAAGAAGGGAAGGGAAGAAATCTCTCATTACTGTGAAGAGGAGTGATCTCTACTGGAAGAAAAATCAATCACACCTGACCTAGCAGGAAATAACAGTCTCTGGTGGACTCTGAGACAGGAAGAGGAAAACTAATTTGTACTAGAAGAGGAAGTAGCACTGTAGCACTGTCCTCCCGTTGTTCATCGATTTGCTCGAGCGTGCCCAGTAACGTCTCCATTGCATGACTTGTTGATACTGTGTTTTGCCTATCGAATAGGTCACGGGAAGCTTTCCAGGCTTTGCTGTGCGGGCGAGATACTCTCGGTAGCTTGCCAGGCTCTCCAAAAAGGGCGGAGGAATCGAACCCGGGTTGCCGGGTCTGCCGTGCAGGCTGAGTGTAAGGGAAACTCCCTACCCACTTTGCTATCGCTGCAGCCACAAAACTTTAAAAGAAAAAAACAAATTGTAGGGCTAGAAAGATAGTACAGCGGCAGGGCGCTTGCCTTGCGCATGGCTGATCTGGGTTCATCCCTGGCATTTCATATGGTGCCCTGAGCCATGCCAGGAGTAATCCCTAAGCACAGACAAAATCAGGAGTATGCCCTGAGCACCACAATGTGGGGAGGGGGGAAGGGGGAACAAACAAAAAGAAAAGCGAAAACAAGAACAGAACAGACACTTCAATTTCATTTCAGGGGTTGAGGGAGTCGTTATTTGTAATGTATCTCAAGGCAATGATGCAGGATTGTTGGAGGAAAATAAATTAGCTGAAAATTTGAAAGAAGATATTGGGAGAATTCTGAAAATCAGACAAATTACTTTCATATATATATATAGTTGCCAGGTGTACCCAAATTAGGTTCTTTTTAAAAAGAAAAATAGAAACCAGACATAAACATTTTCTAGCAAATTAAAATTATTGTGTGGGAGCATAGGGGGAGTGTCTGCTACTGAAACACAAAAGTGACCAGAAACAATTCCCGATGAATGCAATCCTATGAAACTTAACCTATAAATGCAGGGGAAATAGTTCAACCCCCGGGGGGTATGTGGGGGGGGAGAGAAAGGGGAAACGATGTGTGGAGCAACAGAACTGTGGGAAGGGTGTTTGCCTTGAATGCGGCTGACCTGGGTTCAATTCCGGGTATCTCATAGGGTCCCCTGAGCACCACCAGGAGTAATTCCTGAGTGCAGAGTCAGGAGTAACGCCTGAGCATCCCTGGGTGTGACCCAAAAAGCAAAAATAATAACAATAATCACTGTCACTGTCCTCCCGCTGTTCATCGATTTGCTCGAGCAGGCCAGTAACATTGTGAGACTTGTTACTGTGTTTGACATATTGAATATGTCACAGGTAGCTTGCCAGGCTCTGCCGTGAAGGCGAGATACTCTCGGTAGCTTGCCAGGCTCTCTGAGAAGGGCAGAGGAATCAAACTCGGGCCGGCCAAGTCGGCTGCATACAAGACAAAAGCCTTACCCGCTCTGCTATCGCTCTAGCCCCAATAAATAATAATAGTAATAATAATAAATAATTCAATGGGCTGGAGTGTATCCTTTGCAGGCTGGAGGCCCAGGTTCAATTCCTGGTACCACATAGTGCCCTGAGCCCTGCAAGAGGTAGGAACGGATCACTGAGATGCTCACAAGCACCGCTGGGTTAGGCCCAACCCCACAACACAAAGAGTTCTTAAAGCCAAACTACAAATAATCCAATTTTTAAAATGGATTAAAGATCTGAACTCACACCTGTGGAGAGAAGCAGATAGCAATAGGCTCATGCAAATGATGCTCAATGTTATGCGCTGTTGGGAAACTGCAATGAAAACAACAAGCTACTTGGGGGCCAGAGAGGTAGTATAGCGGGCAGGGCACTTGAGTCACACAAAGCAGGCCTGGGTTCAATCCCAGTACCAGATAGAGTCCCACTGAGCTCCGCCAAGAGTGAGGCAAGAGCACTGCTAGGTGTAACTCCTCCCTCAAAAACAACAATAACAACAACAACAAACAACAACAACAAAGAAAGCTTCAACCTTGGGGCTGGAGTGATAGTACAGCAGGTAGGGCGTTTGCCTTGCACACGGCCGACCCAGGATCGATTCCCAGCATCCCATCTGGTCTCCCAAGACCCACCAGGAGTAATTCCTGAGTACAGAGCCAGCAGAAACCCTTGAGCTCTGCGGGGTGTGACCCAAAAAGAAAAACAAAAAGAGCTGCAACCTTTAAGAAGGGTTAAAATTCAGAGAACCAGCACCACCAAATGCTGGTAAAGATACATAGTAACAGACGTTCTCATTCATTGCTGGTGGGAACACAGAATTGTGCAGTTGTTGACTTATTCCCACCAGAAGCAGGAGAGTCCCCATGGAGAGGAAGTGGTGACTGAAGTGTATATACTTATTTTTTTAAGTTGGTATAAATATTCTAATACAGAGGAAAATGATCCCCCCACCCAGAAGAAGAAGAAAAAAAAGAAAGTGACTTACTGGCCCTTCTCCCCCTGCCCCTGGCACAGCCTGGGATAACTTGGAGCAGAGCGCCCCCTGGTGGCCACAGTCACCCCTGCAGCTGCCCTGTGTCCCTCAGCAGGTTTGTGTCTGGGCTCACAGGGACTTGCCCTCACTGTGTATCTTGCACAGTAATACACGGCGGTGTCCTCAGTTACCGAGTTGCTCAGTTTTAGGTAAACTTGGTTCTTGGAGGTGTCCCTGGAGATGCTGACTCGGGACTGAAGACTTGGATTATACTTTGTGATTCCACTAGCCCATATAGCACCAATCCAATCCAGCCCCTTTCCAGGGACCTGGCGGACCCAGTATACACCATTGCTGGTTAGAGAGAATCCAGAGACCGAGCAGGTGAGGGACAGCATCTGCGAGGGCGTCACCAGGCTTGGTCCCGACTCCTGCAGCTGTATCTGGGACAGGACGCCTGGGAACAGAGACTCACAGTGAGTCATGGGCTCAGAGGCCCCATGCCCACCTTGGAGCCTCTGTCCAGGGGATACTCACATCCAGGAGCTGCCACCAGAAAGAGGAGGAACCAGCGCTGATGCACGTTCCTGCCCACGAGGTCCATGATCTCAGACACTGCGTCAGGGGGAGAGGGAGCCTGAGTTGGGGTGAGTGTGAACGAGGTTTTAATCCTGGGTCCCGAGTGCAGATTTGCATGGGGGAGCCTCTGGAGAGAAAGGAGGGAACCCGGGGGAGGCTGGCGTGTGGGCTCCCTGGGAGGAGGTGCTGACTGTGGCTCAGAGCACTCAGGCCTGTCCCTGGGGCCCTTTCAGAGCTGGGCCTCTTCCTGCAGCACAGGAAACGTGCTGAGGAGCTCTCAGGAAACAGAAATTGCTGAGGGGGAAACGGCAGCTGGGAGGAGAGTTCCTGTGTCTCAGGTCCCTAATGACAAATCCCAGCACCCTCAGGGCCTCTACCCTGCAGACAGACCCCTGCCCCTCCATGTCACTCTGTGGTGGCTCCTTTTCTACTGTATATACAAAATCAGAGACCAAACACACAATGTAATTGTCACAGTGAATTCTGACTTGGTTTGGTCGAATCCCAGGTCAATCAAATTTCACAGAGTTTATTCAGACACTTAGCAAGGATGAACATTCCTTCACCTGTAGCAGAATTATTTGTAAGTATACAGGTATTTATAGATATACATTCTGTCTGATGATTCATTTGTATCAGGATAAGGAAGATACTTCTGCCTAGATGAACTTTGTGGCATGGTTGACCTGATCAGCAGTACCAAAACCTGCTCAGTCCTGTGTATAGCTCAGTGTCCAAAAGATGACTGTGTTCTTGTGGTCATCACTGAGAAATCACAACCTTTTGAGTGTTTAGAAAGACCCAGTAAACAGTCCTCAGCACATAATCTATTGGGCCAGAGTTTTGGTCTTTGTGCAAAGATCAAATGTACAGTGTGAAAGCCCTGAGTAGTGACATGTGAGGCTCTACCCTGCCTCCAAATACATGGAACCTAGACTCAGCCTGTGTCACCTAAGTGTACCCCTGATTCTATGGAGCATCAGGAGTTTGAGTTCAATATAAGGGACAAGAAAATATGCTCTTAAATTTCATGTTCTAAATGTCAGCATTAAGGGTCAAAGTAATTGTAACAATTCTGTTCAACGTTCAACATAGTTCTATTAAAATAAACACAGAAAGATATATAAAGAACTCAGACAAGATGCGGATTGAACAGATCAATATTACACCTCACATACAGACAGCGCTAATAGGATTAATAAACCTTCTCTTATGTAAAGCATGTGAGTCGCTATGGCTCTCTGTGCCCAGGTGTCCTGTGCCTGAACTGCAGGCCCAGAACGGTGAATCCTCCGAGTTCTGACCCACCTGCACTGTCTCTGTGAGCTCCACCATTAACAGCAGTTTTCAGGGTAACTTGACCCCTGTACCTCAGATATATTCGGATGGATGGGGAGATGCACAATGATGGGACCGTTTCCTAAAGCTACTTCACCAGAGCAAAGGGCAATTTCTTAAATCTTAAATCCAACCACCAACTTTAATTGATAATTTTATAAACTTTTATAAAATTCTATAAACTTTTAAAAAAATTGTTTTAAGGATATTAAATAAGATGGATTTCTTTGTTAAAAGGTTCTTGACTCATTTGTGGCTGTTTCATTCATACAGATGTTGACTAATAAAATATCCTGGGCTATCACTACGAGTTTATTAGAAAAAACCAATCAGAGATAAAAGAAACCAATCAGAGATTACTTGAAAGCCTCAATCATTCATTTTGTGTTTTCTCATTGTGAAACACTCCTGGCACCATCTCTCTGTTCTCCCGGGAACCTGGCAGTCACGCACAGGAACTGCCTCTGTGACATGAAAACTCATTAATGATCACGATTTGGAGATTACAAATAAATCTTGGAGAGTAACAACAAACTGCAGAGATACATCTGGACCCCAAAGTCACCATCAGTTAAAAATTTAACTCCAGTTATATCACTGTCACTGTCACTGTCCTCCCGTTGTGCATCGATTTGCTTGAGCGGGCCCAGTAACCTCTCTATTGTGACAATTGTTACTGTGTTTAATCACTTAATCACATAACTTCCTGTTAGTCCTCGATTTGCTCAAGCGGGCGCCAGGAACGTCTCCATTTGTCCCTGTCACGTGCTAGTGTAGCCCAATGGCATCTGTTCTCTCCGGGAACATGAAGGGCCTCAAATCGATCCTTCATGATCTTGACAAAGAAGTCTGACCATCTGGTAGGTGGGCGGCCACGCGGTCTTTTGACATCCCGTGGAATCCAGTCAGTAACAGCTCTAGTCCAGCGGTCGTCTTTAAATCTCATTACGTGACCAGCCCATCTGATTTTCGACACCTTGGCAAATGAGACAGCGTCCCTGATTCTTGATCGTCAATGGATGTCAGAACTCCGGATTCTTTCTCTCATTTGAGTGAAACGTGATATTCCAAGCATAGCTCTTTCTATTCTTCTTTGGGACACCTGAATAGCGTTCTCATCTTGTTTGCGTAGGGCTCGGGTCTCTGAGGCATATGTTAATGCAGGAAGAACAGTGGAATCAAAGAGATGTGCCCGGAGCCGGAGGTTCTTCATCCTCTTAGCTATTTCTTCGACGTTCTTGAAGGCGTTCCAAGCCGCTCTCTTCCTCCTGCGCAGCTTGGGTGCCAGGTCATTAGTCATATTGACCTCTCGACCTAGGTACACATAGCTGTTGCATTGGGAGATGGTCATTCCATTGAGAGCGAATGGGGCGTCAGGAACGAGGCTGTTTCTCATAAACATTGTCTTCGTAAGATTCAGCTGTAGTCCTACCTTTCCACACTCACGGTCAAAGTCGGCCAGCATTTGTGCCGCTTGGGTGATGTTTGGTGTTATTAAAACAATGTCATCAGCAAAGCGGAGGTGGAGTAGTTGCCGACCATCTATCTTCACTCCCATTCCTTCCCATTCCAGTCGTCGCATGATGTTCTCAAGGGTGGCACTGAAGAGTTTCGGTGACATGGTATCACCCTGCCGCACCCCTTTCTTGACATCAACGATCACATCTTGGTAGAATGGTGAGATCCTGGTAGTGAATCCGCAATACAGCTCACGGAGGATCCTGATGTATTGGGCTTGAATGCCCTGATTGGCTAGGGCTTCAATGACCGCTTCCGTATCAACAGAATCAAAGGCCTTCTTTAAATCAATGAACGTTAAACAGAGCGGCATCTTGAACTCCTGAGAAACCTCAATGAGCTTGGTTATCGTGTGAATATGGTCGATGGTGCTGAATCCTTTGCGGAACCTGGCTTGCTCGCTTGGTTGTCCTTCATCTAGTGTTCTGCCAATCCTATTTAGGATGACTCGAGTGAACAACTTGTAGATGACAGACAATTGGCAGATCGGGCAATAGTTGCCGATGTCATCAATGTCTCCCTTCTTGAACAGTAGACGGTCCTGCTTGTTTTCCATTGGGATGGAACCTTGCATTCAGACAGGTAGCGAGTGAAGAGCCGAGCCAGTGTATTGATGAGTACTGACGGCAGGTTCTTCAGGTGTTCAGGTCTGACCTTGTCTGGGCCGGGTGCTGTTTGTTTCTTTACCAAAGAAATGACGTGTCGGATTTTGGAAGGGAGAACGTTGGGAACGACATATCCATCCTGTGGAATTTGGTATGACGGCAAGTGGACATGGCTATCGAAGAGATTTGAGTAGAAGTCATGGATAATCTTCTCCATTGCCATTCTGGAGGATGTGATGGAGCCATCAGGACATTGGAGGGCAGTCATCTTGCTCTTGTAGTTGGCGAAGGACAGGCGGGCGTTACGAATACTTTTCCCGGCTTCTGCCGCATCTACCAGTACTTCTGCTCTTCTCTCTTTGAGGTCTTTCTTGATCGCATCTCTGCACTGCTTTGCGAGCTCGGACATTAGCTTGCGGTTGCCTGAGGCATGCGCCACACCACGCTGGCGAATTAGCTCAGGAGTTTTCGAAGATAGGTGATTTTTTGTGGCTATCTCTCTCTTGGCGTTCCTCGCACATTCATGGATGTGCTGAACCAGTCGATCGTATTCCTCATCAATGTTGTCAACAATGGAATCTTCCCATGTTGCCGCAATAGTACCAAAGAGTTCCCAGTTGGTGGGCATTCTGGGAGTTCTCTTTTTGAACTTTGCAGCCCTTTCTCCCCGCTCTGTGAAGTAGAATTTTGCATGAAGGAGAAGGTGGTCCGATCCTGTTTGAAATTTTGGGACAACAGCGACATCAGTCAGCAAAACCGATGATTGAATATTATGTGGTCTATTTCGTTGTGGAATCGTCCACCGGGAGACTCCCATGTCCATCGTTTAGATTCTGCCTTCTGGAACTGTGAGTTACAATGAATGGTCTTGGTTGACATGATGAACTCAGACATTTTCTCACCCTGTTCGTTCCATTCTACACTACTCCCACTATCCAGCCGTCGCCATACTCCAGGACACTTTCCGGACCCGCGCGGCCACTTTGTGGCCGCGTGACACATCATAAGACATTAAATGCCCATCTTCCGGAATTGTCATACCGTATTTGAGAGGGTCCAAATATGGTAACACCTACAAGGGTAATTAGAGGTCGCCCCAAAAGCCTCTATCCCTCTCGGAAAAACTGGCAAGCTACCGAGAGTGTTCCGCCCGCACGGAAGAGCCTGGCAAGCTATCCGTTGTGTATTCGTATGCCAAAACCAGTAACTACAACTGGTCTCATTCACCTGACCCTGAAGGCTTCACCGACATGGCAGCACTGAGATGGATGAGAAAGGAGAGGCCGACAAAATCTCAAGACCGACCTAGACTGCCACAACGAAGGAAGACAAAAATGATCATCTGTACTTTCAATGCACGTACGCTAGCATCAGATGCATCCATCGAGGACCTGATGGTACAAGCGCGAATGATCAAGTACGACATCATTGGTCTGACTGAGACAAGAAGGCACGAATCTCACCATGCCGTTTTCGACACTGGAGAAGAATTGTTCCTCAGAACATGCGATAAAAGAGGTGTTGGAGGCGTCGGTGTCCTTGTCAACACAATCTTGGTCAAGAG